CGCTGCGCTCCGGTGCGTCTTCTCTATTGGAACACCAGACTGACAGGCACATTCGGTTAGAGCGAGGGACCCAGCGTGCAGACCCTCGGTTTCAGGCTCCGCGCGGAGGTTCTGCGGGATCCATTCCCCGCGGGCAGGTGAGCTCGGCCAGGCAGGGCCGGGGTCCCGCCCACACCAGCCCGGGGCCGGACGTCCCCGCGCGCCCCACCTGCTCGGATGAGGCCCTGCGCGATGGCCTCCGCCATGCGGCCCGCGCCCACGAAGCCCACGCGCCGAGAGGTCGGTTTCGCAGCCGCCACCGCCGCCATCACGCTGACCAGGAGCCCCAAGCCACGCCCCGTCCCGCCCCCATCCCGCCAATGGGCTACGCCGTCCCGCCCCTTCCTCGTCATTGGCTCTCGGGACCTCACGCTCCGCCCCCTCCCGTCGGGCTCTGCGCTCCACAGCTCGTGGAGCAGTGGGTCCCGCCCCTTCTCCGCTCATTGGTCGGAGGGTTTGGCGTCAGACATCCGGTGGGCGTGGCGTGGGAGGGACGCGTCCCGGGGCCGAGCTGGCGGCGCCCTGAGTCGTCGCGCGTGGAGCGCGGCTGGCGGGAGTCCGGTCCCCGCAGGAGAGCGGCGGCGAGCCGGGGCCCATCCGGGCGGGTGTGTGCGGAGCACGTCCTGGCTTTCCAAAGGGCGGCTGGACGAAGGGTCGGACCGGCGGTCGGTGCCCCGGGGCGTGCCCGGTGGTGTCCCTCGTGGGGACGCTGCGGAGCCCGGAGCCGCTGATGGCTGGTCGCTGGGCAGCGGGGAGGCAGGAGAGCTCGGGGCCCCAGGAGTCCCCGGCGGCAGGGCCCGTGGTAGAGGCCGACCAGGGCCGGGCGGGCGCGGGGAAGGAAAGAGGAAGGTCCGCGATGGCAGCCCGTGCGGCTCTTTGCTGCTCAGCCTGATCCACTCGTCGTTGTCTGCAGAGTGTGGCCTGCGCCGCTCTGGTCGGGATGGGACCACACAGAGCGGACCTGACGCCGGGCGGCTGAACCTCGGCCTGAGCACCCGCGTTCTGCGCGCACTGTCTGGGGAGACGGCGCCTCTATGTAAACACACACACAACCAGGGGCTCAGGACACACAACTGCTCGCGTCCTGCCGGTGCGCCCAGGCCTCTGCTCGGTCTGGCCTCCTTCCCATTGTTCTCGCCTGGCGGATCCCGCCCTGAATCCCACAGGGGAGCCCAGCGGTTCCACTGGAGGGTCCTGGAGCTCCAGGTGTTTCCAGACAAGCAAAGGGATCGTTACAGCCCCGCACGGCAGGGTGGGCGCCCAGAAGGGAAGGACCACGGCTGAGACCACTGGGAGGCACTGACATGGGAGGGGCTCCGGGACCAGCCGTGGGGAGGCCCGTGGGATAGATGCCTGGGTGGTGGAGAGTCAGTGGTGCCTGGCGCTGTGAGACAGCCAATACCGCGTAACGAACGATGGAAGGAGTGGACGAGGCAGCCGCCTCTGGGTCGGAGGAGAGCTAGGTGAAGGTGGCACCGGCACGGCAGAGAGGGGCCCTGAGAAGAGGTGGCCCAGGCCAGGGAAGGTGCCGGGGTCCTGGGCGAGGCAGTCCAGCGACCGGCTTTGGAGCTGGGTGCTCCAGGGCCCACACCAGTGCCAGCCGATCTGTCTGAGCTCTGCCCAGCTCCTATTGAGAATGGGAGGCCCAGGCACTCACCTCCCGGCCCACCAGGGCCCCTCGGTGGCACCTGTTACTGTTCATGGAATAAGGGCAGTTGGGCCCCACACCCAAGCTGCCGCCTGAGGCGGGGAGGGAGGCTGAGCCACCCAATCACCGTCCTCCCCTCGGCCTGTCCAAATCCAGCCCCAGCCTCTTTCCCCAAAGCCCTTGTGGAGCTCAGGTCACCAGGCCTGCTCGTGGCCAGGGGTCCAGCAGGGAACGCCCAGCCTGTCTCACCCCTGTGGCCTGCCTGCTTCCTGCCCACACACCGGCCTCTCCATGTCTCCACCTCCTCCGCCACCCCAGGCGCGGTTGGCGGCCGTGGCCCAGCACCTCTCAGGGGCTGGGCAGTCAGTAGGGGCGGCGGGTCCTGGGGCTGGCCAGGCTCGAGCAGGCAGTGCCTGGGGTGGGGGACAGCTGGCACAGAGTGGCTGGGGCCGGGCCTGTGAAATGCACTTTATTGGCTCCCAGAAGTGGACACACACAGGACCTGGGCACTGGACCTGAGGAGCAAGGTGCGGGGCCTGGGCAGGCCTCGGTTTCCCTGAGGAACGACGTGAATGCTGGCCCCACTGGACAGCTGCCTGGAGCCTCCCTGGGGGAGGGGTGGAATGTGGGCCGAGTTGCTGGGCAGTGCCCTGGACTCCTGGCAGGGTCTGAGGGTGCTGCCCCTGGGCTCTGCCAGCTGAGCGGCCACGGGGTCTGGGGGCAGGGGCGCCAGGCCACCACCACGCTCACGGCTCACTTCCGCGCCTGCTCGTAGTTGTCACTGAACCAGGCACAGGTCTCCTTCACAGCTGCAGGGGGAGGTGAGGGGGGCAGGTGAGGGCAGGGCTGCACGGAGTTCCAAGGGAGGCAGGGTCGGTGGGTCCCCAGCCTCAAAGGGTAGTCACCCCTGTTTCCTGCTGCCTGATGAGGGTTTGAAGACCAAACCTGCCAGGCGTCCACCCCTGGCTGGAGTAGGAAGCTGAGGCCTCGGGCCGGGCAGTGGTCGCCCAGAGCCAGGAAGGAGAGGCCGGGAGGTCGTGAGGGATGGGCTGGGAGGGCCGTGAGGGGCAGGGGCTCACCCTGCTTGAAGGGCGTGAACCGGAAGTCGGGCAGGTAGGCCCGCAGCTTGCCGTTACTGGCCGTCTTCTTAAACTGCCCGTCCGACTTGGTTGTATCAAACTGGGAGCCTGGTCAAGGCCATAGCAGCAGGGGCAGCCCCGCCCCCAGCCTGCCCTTGAACCTCCCCCGCCTTTCTGGGGAGGCTCTGCCCTCCAGCTCCCAGGGTGAGCCCCATCCGTGGATCAGGATACGGTGACCTCCCCGTGGAAGTCCATGGCCTCCACCACGGCCTCGGCAGCCTCCTGGATGGAGACTTCATCCTCCTCGCCCACTGCAGGGAGCGCGGGCGGAGGCCAGGTCAGCCTCAGCTGCCTGGTCCCCCGCCCCCGCCCCCACGCCGTGCCCGCCGCTGCAGTGCCCACCTGACAGGATGATGGGCTCCACCTCATTGTACTCCCGCAGGACCCAGAGGAAGAGCCGGGCCAGGTCCTAGTCAGCCAGGCAGGGTCAAAGGCCACAAGTCATGGCCACATGGGGCCCAGTCACCTCTCCCAACAGCCCGGCTAAGACCGGATCCCTCCCTTGGGGCAGTCCTTGGCCAGCTCATCCCCAACGGGTCCCGTCCTCTCCCGCTGAGCTCAGCGCTGCACCCAGCAAACCCATGGGGCTCAGCGAGGACCAGTGGCTGCTCCTCCAGGTGTCAGCCAGGCCTCCCCCGGCCCCAGGCTCCACCCCACCCCCCCACCCCCCCAGCCAACGAGGCTGAGGCCGGCCTGGGCGATGCTCTGGGGACAGCTGTGTGCCCTCCAGCACGAACCAGTGAGTAGATGAACTGCCTCCGGGGCTTCCCGGTGCCCCACACCGTCAGGGCCGAGCCCCTGCCTGCAAATTCGGGGAGGGGCGTGTCAGAGGCGGGGCAGTCGGCGCACACCTCCCCCTGCTGAGCCCAGGGGCCGACCGGGAGGGCGGGGCCTCGCGGGCAGCAGGCACTCACTCTTAGCCACGTGCACCTTGTGGATCAGGCCGGGCAGCACGTGGCCGTCCTCGATGTTGAAGTTGTCGTGGGGCCCGAAGACGTTGGTGGGGATGACGGCGGTGAAGGTGCAGCCATGCTGCTGGAAGTAGGCCCTGCAGAGCACAGCGTCCCTCCGGCCCTGCTCTCCGCCGCTCCCACCGCCCCGCCCCGCCCCGGCCTCCTTGCGATGGAATAACCAGAGGCCAGCAGAGGAGGGAGAGGAGGCCTGGGAGCCCCACGGGTGACCCACTGGGCCCCCCCTCAGGCCCTCTCCCCCATTCCCGGCGGGCCCCAGCTGGGCGGGTGGCGGGAGGACCTGTTCTGCACGTCGATCATCCTCTTGGCGTAGGAGTAGCCAAAGTTGCTGCTGTGCGGTGGCCCGTTGTGGATCTGGGGGGTGGTGGTGGGGTTAGAGGAGACCGCTGCTTCCCGGCCACGCCCAGGCCCCACGCTCCGCCCCAGGCCCCGCCCCGCCCCGCCGGGGGTCTCACCATGGTCTCATCGATAGGGTAGGTGGTCTTGTCAGGGAAGATGCAGGTGGACAGGCAGGACACCACCTTGCGAGCTCCCACCTCGAAGGCCGAGTGCAGGACGTTGTCGTTGATGTGCACATTTTTCCTCTGGGGGTGGGGGGGGGCAGGTTCAGGCCCCTCCAGGCAGGACCCCAACCCCTACGTGCTCCTCCAGGGACAGAAGTGGGGACACACCCTGGCTCCTCCCACAGGGGCGGTGCCTGAGCCTGCTCGTCCTCCTGCCCCTCAGTCTGTGACATCCTGAGCTGTGGGTCCCACTCCCAGGCTGTGGGAGGGGCCTGGAGAGGACCCCACCCCTCAGCTCAGGACCGGGCCCCAGCTCCGGGGGCTGCTCAGGGCAGGGGCAGAAGGAGCTCAGTGGCCCAATCTCACCGACCCAGAGGCGCGCACCCCCTCTCCTGCCCAGGAGCAGTGAAGCCTTCGCTGTCCACACCCTCCCAGGGCCCCACCTGCCCTCTGGGAATTGGACATGAGGTGGCCCAGCTTTTGGACTGGCCTGGGGAGAAGGGAGGGAGGGTGGCTAGGCTGCAGAGAAGGCTGTGTCTGGAAGGAGGGCCCCGGGCAGAATCTGGTTGGAGCTTCTGCCATCCCAGTGCCGGGCTCCGGGCCGAACCACACCAAGGCCAACGCGCAGGCGCAGCCTGACAGCGCCCCATCCTCCTCCTGCCCTTACAGCACGCCCCATCCCCCCAGGAGCACATGCCACAGACCCGAGCCCAGCTCACACAGCTGCACCCGGCAGGCCGGCCCCGGTGCAGCTGGACCAGAGAGGTCCCGGGAGCAGGAGCATCTGGAAGTGCAAGTGGCAGGAACCAGCCCCGAGCCCCACAGCGGAGGCTGACTTCCCTCAGTTCCCCCGCCTGCTGGGCAGCTCCACGGCTTTTTCTATTCCGGCAAGTGCCCCCAGACCCACTGCATGCCCTCCGCCCACAGGCTGTGCCCAGCCCTGACCATGAGTGTGGGAAGCCAGCCAGGAAGTTCCCAGAAGCCGGCCCCTGGCTCCCGTGCTCACTGGGGCCCTTCACTCACCCAGAAGTCCAGGTTGTATTTAATGTTCCGGAACAGGCCCCCCACCATGGCAGCAAGATGGATGACGTGCGTGGGCCGGACCTTTTCGAACAGGGCTCGGGTCTGTGCAGCATCCCTGGGGATAGCCGGGCTGTCAGCGGTCCCCTGAAGGCCCAGGGACTAGCCCCTGGGGTTGCGGAACTGGAGACGGGGCTGGGCAGGGCCCATGGCGGGATGGGCTGCCCCCAGGGAAGGCGGCCAGTTCAGGCCCTGCTGCTATGAGGGTGTGGGAGGATGTTTGCCTAGGAGCAGAGCTGTGCACACCCAGGCCACGCCTGCCACCTGGCGGGGAGGGTGCAGACACGAGGCCTGGCCCAGAGCTGTCGGGAGAGGGCCTGGGGGGGTGGGTATGCCAGGGATAGGTCCACTCACGTGAGATCGGCATCCTTGGAGGAGACGAACACCCAGTCCTCGCCTGGCATCCTAGCCCCGTCTGCTACCACCTTCTGGATGGCTCTGCCCACCAGCCCAGAGCCCCCTGTCACCAGGATCCGCATGGACCCCTGGGGCTCACCCATGGCGCTGCACCTGCACAGCCAAAGGGTGTGAGGCTGAGGCCATTCTGCTTCCATCCGACCCAGCCCTAGGCTCCGGGGATGCTGCTGTTTAGGGTCATCTGTCCAAGGGCTGGCCCAGGACGCTGCCCCCAGGAGGGGAGAGACCCAGCTGGCTCGAGTCATCCCTCCTCCCCTCCAGCCACCAGAGCCTATCCCCCGTTCCACCTGTCCCAGGCCTCAGGGCACCCCCCCCCCAGTACCCTATCTTGGGGCCTGGAAATCGGCTTGAGTCCCTACTGGAAGGCCTGAGCCCGCTGCAGGGCCCCCTGTCCAGCCCCGACAGGAGGGGCCCTGCCCGGACACCTGCTGCTGCTCCCGCCGCACAGGCAGTCCAGCAGCCGGCCTGTGGGGAGACCCCACGCGTCCAGCCCCCCACCGCTCCCTCGGATCCCTCCTCAGGCCCAGGGCCACCTACAGCCGCGGGTTCCCTCCCATGCCCCAGGCCCTTCCCGGCCCCTCCACAGGCACCTGGCAGCCAGGCCCCCTCCCGGGTCCCCAGGACCCTCCCACGGCCCGGATACCCGCCAGCGCCCTCGGGTCCCGCCCACGCCCCCGGGGCCCCAGCACCCCTCGGGCTCCGGGCAGTCGGGGAGCGCCCAGGGCCCAGGCCCGGCGCGCGACGTCTCAGCCTCCCTCGGTGTTCAAGGGGTCTCCCCTGCACCCCACGCCACCTCACCTGCCCGGCTGCCAGCTGGCTACTTCCGGCGCTGGCGGGGTCCAGCCGCGCGCCAGAGCCAGGTGGAGGGCGGGGCGCGCGGTGCTCCCGGGGCATGCGGGGACTTGGAGTCCTCCCGGGGCGCGCGGGCGCTCCGTGAAGGGACTCGGGCACCGCGGGAACCGCGCAGCAGCCTGGGAAATGTAGTTCCCGCCGGGTCTGCATCCGCGGGGCGGTCCTGGGGAGCTGATCCCGGCGCGGTGGCCTCCGGGCGCTCGGGCCACCACCGCCCGGGCGCGGGGCGCGACCCCGCTGGGGAGGCTCGGAGCCCCGAATGAGGAGGAGCGGCAGTTACTGCTGAAGAAGCCGAGGCGCGCCGTCTGGGACTTGTTCTTATTGTTGAATACCGCAGAGCCGGCCGAGACTGCGGGACAGGGTCCGCGACGGGTGTGGAGCCCACGGCCTTACCCGGCTACTGACCGGGGTCCCAGCGGGCGCCCACGGTTGTTCCCGCTTTTGTTCCGGGAGCTGCGACCCCAATGCCTGAGCTCGGCCAAGAAACTCCAGCAGTGAGTGGGGTTGGGGCCAATGGGGCGGGATGAGGACACATATGTAATGCCTTTATCCATAAAGAAAAAAAAGAAACTCCAGCCAAGCTGACCCATTCCACGCGCGGTGGGCGGGTCCCCTACCGGCCCCTTTCGCCTCTTCACCCCACAGGCCCCGCCCCCATCCTGGGCTCAGGCCACGCCCCCTTTTCCTGTCTCACGCTGGGGCTGCCCCACAGGCCCCGCCCCTCGACTCCGTCTTCCCCGCTCATGGGCTCAGTCTACCCCCCACACCACCTCAGGCCCCGCCCTCACGTGCACGCGCTCAGGCCCCGCCCCTGCACCGACCTTCGACTCCGCCTCCCGTTCAAGCCCCGCCCCACACCATCTCTAGGCCCCGCCCCTTCACATGCACGCGCCCAGGCCCGCCCCTGCGCCGACCTTCGACTCCGCCTCCAGCTCAAGCCCCGCCCCACACCATCTTTAGGCCCCGCCTCCATCGCGGGCAGCGCTGGGGGCCTAGCTGTCTTCCGTTACCTGCCCTGGCTCATCACCGGGATGCTTGCTTACGGCATAGAGTTGTTCAGATTTGAGAATCTTGTCACGAATTCCTTTTTTTTTTTTTTTAATATGTTTTATTGATTTTTTACAGAGAGGAAGGGAGAGAGATAGATAGTTAGAAACATCGATGGGAGAAACATCGATCAGCTGCCTCCTGCACATCTCCCACTGGGGATGTGCCCGCAACCCAGGCACATGCCCTTGACCGGAATCGAACCTGGGACCTTTCAGTCCGCAGGCCGACGCTCTATCCACTGAGCCAAACCGGTTTCGGCACGAATTCCTTTTAAAGTTATGCACGGATCTTCAATTATTTGCTCAATTTTGTTTAATATCGAGGCGTTTAATTTATTACTTCTCTTACCTCCGCGTTTTTTTTCTATCAACACGCAACCATTCTTATACTGGTAAATAATTGACTTTGCCGTATGGTTTTTAATGCTGGCGATGGCAGCTGATTCATTTACTGTTCTACCATCTTCGTAACATTTTATTAAAACCTTTTATTTATCGTGGCTGGTACGATCGTATGTCGGTGGATTACTACGTCGGACAACGGGGCTTCTGGTCCGGATCCCTTCATTTCCGGCGATGGTGTTGCATTCCTCGGAGGATGCGTGTTGCCAATGACCTTCCAGAGCTTGACTCAGTGTTTGATGTTGTATCCATTTCCAGGGTCTGAAAAAAACATTCAGGATTTATGTAAAAATACCTTAATGGAATCAAAATATGTAAAAAGCCTATTAACGTTATCACAAAGTTAGGTTCAGAGAAAAATGAAAACATGTTGCGATGCACTATCTTTTTCGTTGTTGTGAACACTGCATAAGAAACTATGTAGAATTGAAGCAGTTCTACCTTTCCCAGACGCATACTCCCTAGACTGGATTCAGTTGTGCACATGTACATATTAACGTTTAACTTACCTTGGTATCATACCATTTATGGGAAAGTGTAATTTTTTGTAAGTACTTTGTGATTTGAAGTTACGGTGGCTCACCAATTGAAAGAAAACTGTTTACAATATAAGATCAAATTAATAAATGTATATGTATCAATTGATCACCTATCGAATGCCAGTCAATACGACTGGCTTTATGCATGCCTTAACTATGAATACAATCACAAAAAAAGTGACTTTATTGTTTTATTTTACTCTATTTTCACCCCAAAGTGAATTTGCTTTGCAAAGGATGAATTTGCTTTGCAAAACGGTGAATTTTTTTTTTCCGGTTAATCCTCACCTGAGGATATTTTTCCATTGGTTTTTAGGGAGAGTGGAAGAGAGAGGGAAAGACAGAGAGAAAAGTTGATGTGAGAGAAACACATCGATTGGTTGACTCCTGAACGAGCCGCCACCAAGGACTGGAGTGGGGAGGAGCCTGCAACCAAGATAATCGAGCCCGGGACCCTTTGGTCCGCAGGCTGACGCTCTATCCATGGAGCCATCCGGCTAAAGCTGCAAGAGGTGCATTTGATTTGCGAAGGGTGTCCTGCTTCCAGGACTTGAGCAGCAGACATGCAGCGAGGGAGGAGAAAGACAGACGAGTGAGCTGTGGCGTCCTTTCTCGGGCGAGCAAGCTGATTCTGCACAAGGAAGCAGCCGG